GCATAGGGGTGGGGCTGTCTAGTGGGAGGAGCATCCTGCATGGGGTGGAGTGCCCTGGAGTGGGAGGGGCCTCCTTGTGGGGGCGGGGCTTCCTGCAGGGTGGGTTCTTAAGCAGTGGGTTGGGCTTGCCGGGGCGCGGCCGGGGCGCAGGGGTCCCCGCTGACGGCGTCCCCGGCAGGGCCGGCCCCCGGGGAGGAGCTGCGGCTGACCTTCCCGGTGCGGGACGGCGTGGTGCTGGAGCCCTTCCGCCTGCAGCACAACCTGGCCGTCAGCAACCATGTCTTCCAGCTGCGCGACTCCGTCTACAAGACCCTCATGATGAGGTGGGGGCGGCGGGGGGGCACGGGGGCTGCACGGCACGGCGTCGTACAGCGCTGCTTGGCGTGGCGCTGCACGGCCTGGCGCAGCACAGTGCAGTATGGCACAGCATGGAGTCGTGCTGCGCAGCATGGGTTGTCGCAGCACAGCGCTGTGTGGTGTGGCGGTATGTGGCATGGTGTGGCTTGGCGCAGTGCCGTACCGTGTCATGGCATGCCTCAGCAAGGCACGGCGCTGGATGCGTGGTGGTACAGGGCTGTGGCTTGGCACCGCATGGTGCTGTATGGCACGGTGGTACATGGTGTGGCTTGGCATGGCATGGCATGGTGCTGTGCACTGCGGTGGTACCCACGTGCGGTTTGTTATGGTGCTGTATGGCGCAGTGGTATGCGGCGTGGCTTGGCACAGCATGGTGGTGTATGGCACGGTGGTACCCGGCGCAGTGGCTCGCGTGTGGGCACAGCCCCTGCCTGCACCCCTGCCCACACCCCTGCCCGCCCCACCAGGCCTGACCTGGAGCTGCAGTTCAAGTGCTACCACCACGAGGACCGGCAGATGAACACCAACTGGCCGGCCTCCGTGCAGGTGAGCGTCAACGCCACGCCGCTCACCATTGAGCGCGGTGACAACAAGACCTCCCACAAACCGCTCTACCTGAAGCACGTCTGCCAGCCTGGCAGAAACACCATCCAGATCACCGTCACTGCCTGCTGCTGCGTGAGTCACCGGGAGGGTCTCCGGGTGGTGGTGGTGGGGTGGGGGCAGTGGCTGGGGGCGTGGCTCAGCCCCTCCCTGTCTCTCCACAGTCCCACCTCTTCGTCCTGCAGCTGGTGCACCGGCCCTCGGTGCGCTCAGTGCTGCAGGGTCTCATCAAGAAGCGCCTGCTGCCTGCCGAGCATTGCATCACCAAAAGTGAGCGCTGCGGCTGGCACCCCCAGCCTGCTGGGTCCTGGGGGATGGGGGGCTGCAGCATGGTGGGGGTAATGGGGCACCATGCCCAGACGCCACCACGGTGTCACCCCCATCCCCGCGTCCCCGTTCTGACCCTCTGTGCCCCTCACCCCACCCCCACCCCCCCAGTCAAGCGCAACTTCAGCAGCGGGACCATCCCGGGGACTCCGGGGCCCAACGGTGAGGACGGCGTGGAGCAGACAGCCATCAAGGTGTCCCTCAAGTGCCCCATCACCTTCCGGAGGATTCAGCTCCCGGCCAGGGGCCATGACTGCCGGCACATACAGGTAGGGGGGGTGGTGGCAGGGGGCTGGGGAGCGTCCCCGTCGTCCCCCCCCCCCGCTGGCTCAGCCACCGCTCTCCCCCACAGTGCTTCGACCTGGAGTCCTACCTGCAGCTCAACTGTGAAAGGGGGACATGGCGGTGTCCTGTCTGCAAGTGAGTGGGGTCCAGCAGGGCTGTGCCTCGGTTTCCCTGCCTGCGGGGGGCAGGGGTGGGTTCCCTGCCCTCACCCTGCCTCTCCCTGCCTGCAGTAAGACAGCCCTGCTGGAGGGGCTGGAGGTGGACCAGTATATGCTGGGCATCCTGATCTACATCCAGAAGTAAGTGTCCCTGCTCTGCCCCTGGCCGGCACTGTGTTACTCCTGGGGGGCCGTGCAGCCAACCTGCCCCCCCTGCTATCCTGCCGTCCCCAGCTCGGAGCATGAGGAGATCACCATCGACCCGACCTGCAGCTGGAAACCCGTCCCGGTCAAACCCGACATCCACGTCAAGGAGGAACCAGAGGGGCCGGCGCTGAAGCGGTGCCGAACCCTCAGTCCTACACACATGGTGCTGCCCAACATCATGGAGATGATTGCGGCCCTGGGGCCTGGCTCCACGCCCTTCCCGGCACTGCCGCCACCACCGGCGGGGGGCGCCGGCCGCCCAGGGGGCCCCCGGGG